TATATATACATACATACATACGGATAGATTAAACAACTAATATAATTATTTTAGCCTGCATTATGGTGTCTATATAAAAAGCCTTATGTGAACTCGAAAGATTTTATTAGGTGCATTGTACTATGTGTTTTAAGTTCATTCATGTTTGGTTGGCACGTACATGAGAAAGCTATATTAACCGCAATTATTCCTTTGTGGTAAGTCCTATACGCCTTATAACAGAGTCAGGCCACGAGAAGTTATTAAAACAAGAATGAAAAAGAAGAGCATATATACAATTTTTTTTTACATATAATATTTCATTCAAACTTATGTTATCTTACATTCTAATTTACTAAAGTTGATAAAAACGATAGGTCAATCAAAAATCTGTTATTTCGTGGCCAGACTCTGTTTATATAATAAGTATTAAACTCATATAATAAATATTCAACTCAAAGGTTACTGTTTTATTACCTTATGAAATATGTATTTATTTGTAGTAAAAATATAATATAGTATGTTTTATAATAATTTTAGCATCCTTGCAGCGCTACATGTGGAAGATGCGCGCATATTCATTATTTTAAGCAGTGCTGGACAAACTGCTCTCTTACCATTGCTATATCCTGACAACTTGTCTTGTCTGAAATTATTATTGTCGCTGGCGTATATGCTTTCATCGATTTTAATCTTGACTAATCACCACGGCAGGCCTTTATTACGATTACATGAATGGCTGTACGTAATACCGCTGCCATTAGTTACGGTCTACGAAGTGGTACTGCATAAATTGTTGTTCGGCGACAAACTGCCATTCTTACCATTAGCATTTACTTCTATATACTGTGCTATTGGTATAACTTATTGTTGGATGCTATACTATTATATGTATCTGCAGAATGATGCTCGTGATAAAACAGTGGGAGACAAATCTAATCGCCAAAGATTAAAACAGTCCTAGATTTTACAAATTGCTAGAGATTTACAGTAATGATTTGTATCCTCCTGAGCGAAATAAAATATTTTTATAAATTGTATATTTATCAGATGATTAAATATGTTATATATTATATAATTTAATATTTTATTATAAGTAGAAATTTAAGAGAGAATTTTTAAGTTTTAAGAATTTTCTAATAAAATTTATATTTTTGGCGCGAATGTAATCGAGGTTAATACCTTTGCGTGAGCAGTGTTTCAGATATTGTTCTATTCCTGCACAAGAGAGAAACTTGAAAGAGAACATAACGATCTTTTATGGGGCTCCCGCACACAGAACGCG